ACTGAGGGTCGGGGGGGGGGCAGGTCGGGGGCACACTGAGAGGGTCGGGGGCACACTGAGAGGGTCGGGGGCACACTGAGGGTCGGGGGCAGGTCGGGGCACACTGAGAGGGTCGGGGGCAGGTCGGGGCACACTGAGAGGGTCGGGGGCACACTGAGGGTCGGGGGCACACTGAGGGTCGGGGGCGGTCGGGGGCACACTGAGAGGGTCGGGGGCACACTGAGAGGGTCGGGGGCACACTGAGGGTCGGGGGCAGGTCGGGGGCACACTGAGAGGGTCGGGGGCACACTGAGAGGGTCGCTTATTATTCAGCCAGAGAGATGAAGTCGATGGAGGAATCCCCCATCCCCCCTCCCCCACATACAGATATCAGTCTGTACCAATCCTGTGTCCGGTTCCTGCACTCCACACACTTGTGCGCAGTGACGTCACCTGGCTCCGCCCTACGTGTTGCGTCACATGACTTCCTCAGGGGTGGAGGACTGACATCTGGTGGTCTCAGGTGGGAGGTTTTATGGTTTTCATTATTATTATAAATCTGTTTTATGATAGAAAACCCCAAAAAATGTGAAAATTATTATTTGTAGTATAAATGGGGGAGATTCCTAAAACTGGAGAGTGTGGAATGGGGCGTGGCTGTGCAGAGGAACCAATCAGATTCCAACTTCAGCTTATTCAGTGAAGCTTTGGGAGTAAAACCTGGAAGCTGATTGGCTGTCATACAGGACTGGACCGGATTCTGCCCCCCCCCAGGTCTAGGAAACCTCCCCCGGTGTCTTATGGGGAGGACCCTCCATTGCGTAGGGGGGACTCTCCATTGTATTGGGGGGCCCTCCATTGTGTGGGGGGATCTTCCATTGTGTAGGGGGGGCTCAATTGTGTAGGTGGGGGGGCCCCCCATAGTGTAGGAGGGGCCCTCCATTGTGTAGGTGGGGGGGGGCCTCCATTGTGTGTGGGGTGGATCCTCCATTGTGTAGGGGGGCCCTCTATTCTGTGGGGGGGCCCCTCCATTCTGTAGGGGGGCCCACCATTGTGTAGGGGGGGCCCACCATTGTGTAGGGGGGCCCTCCATTCTGTGGGGGGCCCCTCTATTGTGTAGGGGGGCCCTCCTTTCTGTGGGGGGCCCCTCCATTGTGTAGGGGGGGCCCTCCATTGTGTAGGGGGGGGCCCCTCCATTGTGTAGGGGGGGCCCTCCATTCTGTGGGGGGCCCCTCCATTGTGTAGGGGGGGGGGTCCCTCCATTGTGTAGAGGGGTGCCCTCCATTCTGTGGGGGGCCCCTCCATTGTGTAGGGGGGGTCCCTCCATTGTGTAGGGGGTGGTTTGGGCAGGACTGCCTCCTCATTGGTCAGGCACACTATGGGCGGAGCTCACTATGTCCCGACACTGGTCAGTCCATATCTGTGTTCCCGATCAGCTGTATACTGTCCCCCAATGACATCATCAGTGTCCCCCCCCCCCCCACATACATGTACAGACCACCATCTCCATTCTTCCTCAGTGTCCCCCCCCCCCCCCCCCCCCACATACATGTACAGACCACCATCTCCATTCTTCCTCAGTGTCCCCCCCCCCCCCCCACATACATGTACAGACCACCATCTCCGTCCTTCCTCAGTGTCCCCCCCCCCCCCCCCACATACATGTACAGACCACCATCTCCATTCTTCCTCAGTGTCCCCCCCCCCCCCCCCACATACATGTACAGACCACCATCTCCTCTTCCTCAGTGTCCCCCCCCCCCCCCCCCCCCCACATACATGTACAGACCACCATCTCCATTCTTCCTCAGTGTCCCCCCCCCCCCCCCCACATACATGTACAGACCACCATCTCCGTCCTTCCTCAGTGTCCCCCCCCCCCCCCCCCCCACATACATGTACAGACCACCATCTCCATTCTTCCTCAGTGTCCCCCCCCCCCCCCCCACATACATGTACAGACCACCATCTCCATTCTTCCTCAGTGTCCCCCCCCCCCACATACATGTACAGACCACCATCTCCATCCTTCCTCAGTGTCTCCCCCCCCCCCCCCCCCCCCCACATACATGTACAGACCACCATCTCCATCCCTTCCTCAGTGTCCCCCCCCCCCCCCCCCACATACATGTACAGACCACCATCTCCGTCCTTCCTCAGTGTCCCCCCCCCCCCCCCCCACATACATGTACAGACCACCATCTCCATGGGAAAACCCCTTCCTCAGTGTCCCCCCCCCCCCCCCACATACATGTACAGACCACCATCTCCATTCTTCCTCAGTGTCCCCCCCCCCCCCCCCACATACATGTACAGACCACCATCTCCATCCTTCCTCAGTGTCCCCCCCCCCCCCCCACATACATGTACAGACCACCATCTCCGTCCTTCCTCAGTGTCCCCCCCCCCCCCCCCCCCAACACTGTACATGTACAGACCACCATCTCCATTTCTTCCTCAGTGTACATACATGTACAGACCACCATCTCCGTCCTTCCTCAGTGTCCCCCCCCCCCCCCCCACATACATGTACAGACCACCATCTCCATTCTTCCTCAGTGTCCCCCCCCCCCCCACATACATGTGACCAGCCATCTCCATTCTTCCCCCCCCCCCCCCCCACATACATGTACAGACCACCATCTCCGTCCTTCCTCAGTGTCCCCCCACCCCCCCCCCCCCCCCCACATACATGTACAGACCACCATCTCCGTCCTTCCAGGGAGGATCATCATCGATGGAATCGACATCTCCAAACTGCCACTGCAGACCCTGCGATCCCGACTGTCCATTATCCTGCAAGACCCCATTCTGTTCAGTGGCACCATCAGGTAGGTGGGGGGAGGGGCCGACTGAGGATGATGGGGGAGGGGCTCCCTGGGGGGAATTTATCATTGATAGTGCTGGAGACCCCCCCCCCCCCCATAGTGTAACCCCCACTTATCTCTGTGCTAAAGGATGGTGGGAACCCCTCATAATGGGCACAGGGATGGTGGGAACCCCTCATAATGGGCACAGGGACGGGGGGAACCCCTCATAATAGGCAGAGGGACGGGGGGAACCCCTCATAGTGGGCACAGGGATGGTGGGAACCCCTCATAATAGGCAGAGGGACGGGGGGAACCCCTCATAGTGGGCACAGGGACGGTGGGAACCCCTCGTAATGGGCACAGGGATGGTGGGAACCCCCCTCGTACTGGGCACAGGGATGGTGGGAACCTCTCATAATGGGCACAGGGATAGTGGGAACCCCTCGTAATGGGCACAGGGATGGTGGGAACCCCTCGTAATGGGCACAGGGATGGTGGGAACCCCTCGTAATGGGCACAGGGATGGTGGGAACCCCTCGTAATGGGCACAGGGATGGTGGGAACCCCTCGTAAGGGGCACAGGGATGGTGGGAACCCCTCATAATGGGCACAGGGATGGTGGGAACCCCTCGTAATGGGCACAGGGATGGTGGGAACCCCTCGTAATGGGCACAGGGATGGTGAGAACCCCTCATAATGGGCACAGGGATGGTGGGAACCCCTCATAATGGGCACAGGGGATGGTGGGAACCCCTCATAATGGGCACAGGGACGGGGGGAACCCCTCATAATGGGCCCAGGGATGGTGGGAACCCCTCATAATGGGTGCAGAGATGGTGGGAACCCCTCATAATGGGCACAGGGGGGGTACAGATCCGGGTACTCAGCACAGGGATGGTGGGAAGTCATATACCAGAGTGTGATGTCATATGTCGGAGGAGTGCGATGTCGTGTGTCGGAGGAGTGTGATGTCGGAGGAGTGCAATGTCATGTGTCGGAGGAGTGCGGAGTCGTATGTTGGAGGAGTGTGATGTCGGAGGAGTGTGATGTCACATGTCGGAGGAGTGTGACGTCATGTGTCGGAGGAGTGCGATGTCGTGTGTCGGAGGAGTGTGATGTCGGAGGAGTGCGATGTCATATGTCGGAGGAGTGTGACGTCATGTGTCGGAGGAGTGCGGAGTCGTGTGTTGGAGGAGTGTGATGTCGGAGGAGTGTGATGTCACATGTCGGAGGAGTCTGACGTCATATGTCGGAGGAGTGTGATGTTGGAGGAGTGTGATGTCACATGTCGGAGAAGTGCGGTGTGCGTGTGTGGAGGAGTGTGTGTTGGAGGAGTGTGACGTTGTGAGTTGGAGGAGTGTGATGTCATATGTCGGAGGAGTGTGATGTCATATGTTGGAGGAGTGTGATGTCACATGTCGGAGGAGTGTGATGTCATATGTTGGAGGAGTGTGATGTCACATGTCGGAGGAGTGTGATGTCATATGTTGGAGGAGTGTGATGTCACATGTCGGAGGAGTGCAGTGTCGTGTGTCGGAGGAGTGTGACGTTGTGTGTTGGAGGAGTGTGATGCCATATGTCGGAGGAGTGTGATGTCACGTGTCGGAGGAGTGTGATGTCATATGTTGGAGGATGTTTGGAGTGTGATGTCACATGTCGGAGGAGTGCAGTGTCGTGTGTCGGAGGAGTGTGACGTTGTGTGTTGGAGGAGTGTGATGCCATATGTCGGAGGAGTGTGATGTCACGTGTCGGAGGAGTGTGACGTCGTGTGTCGGAGGAGTGTGATGTCGGAGGAGTGTGACGTCGTGTGTCGGAGGAGTGTGATGTCGGAGGAGTGTGACGTCGTATGTCGGAGGAGTGTGATGTCGGAGGAGTGCGGTGTCACATGTCGGAGGAGTGTGTCGGAGGAGTGTGATGTCGGAGGAGTGCGGTGTCACATGTCGGAGGAGCGTGACGTCATGGTTGTCTCTCTGCAGGTTCAATCTGGATCCGGAGGAGAAATGTTCGGATTGCGTCCTGTGGGAGGCGCTGGAGATCGCGCAGCTCAAACACGTGGTGAAGTCTCTCCCCGGCGGTCTGGGTACGGGGCGGGGGAGGGGATTTCTCTGCAGTGGCAGTTGTCCCTCCCATTGGTCTGATCCGGGAATGTCACTATGACATCATCAGACCGAGTGGGCGGTTCTCCCTCTTTGATACAATGTCTCATTATCTATGTGGGCGGCCCCCTGACGCTCTCTCCTCCTGCAGACGCCGCGGTAACGGAAGGCGGGGAGAACTTCAGCGCAAGAGCAGCGTCCTGATTGGCAGCGGCAGCTCTTCTGACTGGCCACGGAGCGTTCGTCCGCAAGAGCAGCGTCCTGATCATGGATGAGGCCACGGCCTCCATAGACATGGCCACGGTACGTGGGGGGGGGGGGGAGGGGGGAGTCCTGATCATGGATGAGGCCACGGCCTCCATAGACATGGCCACGGTACGTGGGGGGGGGGGGGGGGGAGGGGAGAGGAGGGGGGAGTCCTGATCATGGATGAGGCCACGGCCTCCATAGACATGGCCACGGTACGTGGGGGGAGGAGGGGGGAGTCCTGATCATGGATGAGGCCACGGCCTCCATAGACATGGCCACGGTACGTGTAGACATGGGGGGGGGGGGGGGAGTCCTGATCATGGATGAGGCCACGGCCTCCATAGACATGGCCACGGTACGTGGGGGGGGGGAGGGGAGAGGAGGGGGGAGTCCTGATCATGGATGAGGCCACGGCCTCCATAGACATGGCCACGGTACGTGGGGGGAGGAGGGGGGAGTCCTGATCATGGATGAGGCCACGGCCTCCATAGACATGGCCACGGTACGTGGGGGGGGGGAGGGGGGAGTCCTGATCATGGATGAGGCCACGGCCTCCATAGACATGGCCACGGTACGTGGGGGGGGGGGGAGGGGAGAGGAGGGGGGAGTCCTGATCATGGATGAGGCCACGGCCTCCATAGACATGGCCACGGTACGTGGGGGGGGGGTGTCCCCCCCCCGGGGGGAGCCCCCCGCGCACCGCCTGACCCGCCCTTCCCTCCCGCAGGAGAACATCCTACAGAAGGTGGTGATGACGGCTTTCCAGGAGCGCACCGTGGTCATCATAGCGGTAAAGTCCCGGAGATCGCTGACAACCGCGGGGGGGGGCGGGATCAGATTGGTTGTCGTGGGGAAGTCTACACTTCCCAATGACAGCCAATCCCACCATAGATGAGGGCCGGGGGTCTCTATTACCACAGCAGCCAATCAGATTCTTCCTTATACTCCCTGGAACTATGAGAGCTGGAACTCGTCCCGGAACCCCCTCCCTTCCCCCGCTACAGTCACCGCTTCCTTCTCATCCCACTCGTCCCGGAACCCCCTCCCTTCCCCCACTACAGTCACCGCTTCCTTCTCATCCACCCGTCCCGGAACCCCCTCCCTTCCCCCACTACAGTCACCGCTTCCTTCTCATCCACCCATCCCGGAACCCCTTCCCTTCCCCCACTACAGTCACCGCTTCCTTCTCATCCACCCGTCCCGGAACCCCCTCCCTTCCCCCACTACAGCCACCACTTCCTTCTCATCCACCCGTCCCGGAACCCCCTCCCTTCCCCCACTACAGTCACTGCTCCTTCTCATCCACCCGTCCCGGAACCCCCTCCCTTCCCCCACTACAGTCACTGCTCCTTCTCATCCACTCGTCCCGGAACCCCCTCCCTTCCCCCGCTACAGTCACCGCTTCCTTCTCATCCACCCGTCCCGGAACCCCTTCCCTTCCCCCACTACAGTCACCGCTTCCTTCTCATCCACCCGTCCCGGAACCCCTTCCCTTCCCCCACTACAGTCACCGCTTCCTTCTCATCCACCCGTCCCGGAACCCCTTCCCTTCCCCCGCTACAGTCACCGCTTCCTTCTCATCCACCCGTCCCGGAACCCCCTCCCTTCCCCCGCTACAGTCACCGCTTCCTTCTCATCCACCCGTCCCGAAACCCCCCTCCCTTCCCCCGCTACAGTCACCGCTTCCTTCTCATCCACCCGTCCCGGAACCTTCTCCCTTCCCCCACTACAGTCACCGCTTCCTTCTCATCCACCCGTCCCGGAACCCCCTCCCTTCCCCCACTACAGTCACCGCTTCCTTCTCATCCACCCGTCCCGGAACCCCCTCCCTTCCCCCACTACAGCCACCACTTCCTTCTCATCCACCCGTCCCGGAACCCCTTCCCTTCCCCCACTACAGTCACCGCTTCCTTCTCATCCACCCATCCCGGAACCCCCTCCCTTTTCCCACTACAGTCACCGCTTCCTTCTCATCCACCCATCCCGGAACCCCCTCCCTTCCCCCACTACAGTCACCGCTTCCTTCTCATCCACCCGTCCCGGAACCCCCTCCCTTCCCCCACTACAGTCACCGCTTCCTTCTCATCCACACCGTCCCGGAACCCCCTCCCTTCCCCCACTACAGTCACTGCTTCCTCCTCACATAGACAATCACCTACATGACATATATACTCCCTCCTGTATACAGCTGATCTATATACTTCCTGTACGTCGGTGTCAGGAATGGAGGGATTGGAGGCTCAGCTCTGATGGTTCCCACAATCCTTCACTCTCCTCCATGCGAGGGTTAATCGTTCTGCAGACGGCGGAGAATTGGGTCAGGGCCCATGTGATGGCGGGGGGGGGGGGGAGGCGTCATAGATGAGGTCATCTCACTCTCTGCAGGAATATCACTCAGTGACAGAAGTCTCACTCATTCCGTGGAATCAGCAACACCAGCCTGTGGAGTGCGGGGTAACCCATAGCAACCAATCGCAGCTGAGGAGTCAGATCAGTGAGAGACGGCTGCTGATAGGTTGCTACGGGTTACCACACTCTGCACATGGCCAGCCAATCAGATTCTCCCGTTAGTAAAAGCGGAATGAATGAGAAACACTAATAATAGAAAGCAGCTGACATCAAAGATAAAACCTCCGACCCTCAGAAATCAGGAGTCAGGAATCAGGAGTCAGGAATCAGGAATCAGAAGTCAGGAATCAGGAGTCAGGAATCAGGAGTCAGGAATCAGAAGTCAGGAGTCAGGAATCAGAAGTCAGGAGTCAGGAATCAGGAGTAAGGAATCAGAAGTCAGGAGTCAGGAATCAGAAGTCAGGAGTCAGGAATCAGGAGTAAGGAATCAGAAGTCAGGAATCAGGAGTCAGGAATCAGGAGTAAGGAATCAGAGTCAGTCAGGAATCAGGAGTCAGAAATCAGGAGTCAGAAGTCAGGAATCAGAAGTCAGGAATCAAAAGTCAGGAATCAAAAGTCGGGAGTCAGAAATCGGGAGTCAGGGAATCGGGAAATCAGGAGTCAGGAATCAGGAGTCAGGAATCAGGAGTCAGAAATCAGGAGTCAGAAATCAGGAGTCAGAAACCAGGAGTCAGGAGTCAGAAATCAAAAGTCAGGAATCAAAAGTCAGGAATCAAAAGTCAGGAGTCAGGAACCAGAAGTCAGCAGTCAGAAATCAGGAGTCAGAAATCAAAAGTCAGGAATCAGAAATCAGAAATCAGTCAGGAATCAGGAGTCAGAAATCAGGAGTCAGGAATACCGATCGCTGAGGATTGTCAGACTCGTATTTCAGTACAAAGAGATAAATACTCAGAAATAAAACCGATATAAACGCTCAGAAACCTCAATGAGAAGCGTCAGAGTAAACGCACCTGAAACCGCGGCAAACAACGTGCGTATTATACAGGGGGGGAGGGGCCTAACAAAGGATGAAGATAAATGCGCTGCGGAAGCAACAGAGATAGTGATGATTGCGTCTGAGAGTGACCGCCAATGTCCGATATACAGGTAAGTGACCGCCAATGTCCGATATACAGGTAAGGGTATACTCACCTGTATATCGGACATTGGCGGTCACTCACCTGTATATCGGACATTGGCGGTCACTTACCTGTATATCGGACATTGGCGGTCACTTACCTGTATATCGGACATTGGCGGTCACTTACCTGTATATCGGACATTGGCGGTCACTCTCAGACGCAAATCATCATCACTATCTCTGTTGCTTCCGCAGCGCATTTATCTTCATCCTTTGTTAGGCCCCTCCCCCCCTGTATAATACGCACATTGTTGCCCGAGCGGTTGGCCCCTCCCCCCCCCTGTATAATACGCACATTGTTGCCGCGGTTGGCCCCTCCCCCCCCTGTATAATACGCACGTTGTTGCCGTGGTTGGCCCCTCCCCCCCCTGTATAATACGCACGTTGTTGCCGCGGTTGGCCCCTCCCCCCCTGTATAATACGCACGTTGTTGCCGTGGTTGGCCCCTCCCCCCCCTGTATAATACGCACGTTGTTGCCGCGGTTTCAGGTGCGTTTACTCTGACGCTTCTCATTGAGGTTTCTGAGCGTTTATATCGGTTTTATTTCTGAGTATTTATCTCTTTGTACTGAAATACGAGTCTGACAATCCTCATCTCACCGACTAATCATTGTGTAAATATCCACCCCGTGCCTGTCACTGAGCAGTGTGCAACCACACACACTATACTTATTGTCCCCCCTCCCTCCATATCATGTGATTCAGGTGCTCCAATCCCCTCCATATCATGTGATTCGGGGGTTCCAATCCCCTCCATATCATGCGATTCGGGTGTTCCAATCCCCTCCCAATCATGCGATTCGGGGGTTCCAATCCCCTCCATATCATGTGATTCGGGTGTTCCAATCCCCCCTCCCAATCATGCGATTCGGGGGTTCCAATCCCCTCCATATCATGCGATTCGGGGGTTCCAATCCCCTCCATATCATGCGATTCGGGTGTTCCAATCACCTCCAAATCATGCGATTCGGGGGTTCCAATCCCCTCCATATCATGCGACTCGGGGGTTCCAATCCCCTCCATATCATGCGACTTGGGTGTTCCAATCCCCTCCATATCATGCGACTCGGGTGTTCCAATCCCCTCCATATCATGCGATTCGGGTGCTCCAATCCCCTCCATATCATGCGATTCGGGTGCTCCAATCCCCTCCATATCATGCGATTCAGGTGTTCCAATCCCCTCCCAATCATGCGACTCGGGTGTTCCAATCCCCTCCAAATCATGCGACTCGGGTGTTCCAATCCCCTCCCAGTCATGCGACTCGGGTGTTCCAATCCCCTCCATGTCATGCGATTCGGGTGCTCCAATCCCCTCCATATCATGCGATTCGGGTGTTCCAATCCCCTCCATATCATGCGATTCGGGTGCTCCAATCCCCTCCCAATCATGCGACTCGGGTGCTCCAATCCCCTCCCAATCATGCGATTCGGGTGTTCCAATCCCCTCCATATCATGCGATTCGGGTGCTCCAATCCCCTCCCAATCATGCGACTCGGGTGCTCCAATCCCCTCCCAATCATGCGATTCAGGTGTTCCAATCCCCTCCATATCATGCGATTCAGGTGTTCCAATCCCCTCCATATCATGTGATTCGGGTGTTCCAATCCCCTCCATGTCATGTGATTCGGGTGTTCCAATCCCCTCCATGTCATGTGATTCAGGTGTTCCAATCCCCTCCCAATCATGTGATTCAGCTGTTCCAATCCCCTCCATGTCATGTGATTCGGGTGTTCCAATCCCCTCCATGTCATGTGATTCAGGTGTCCCAATCCCCTCCCAATCATGTGATTCAGCTGTTCCAATCCCCTCCCAATCATGTGATTCAGCTGTTCCAATCCCCTCCATATCATGTGATTCAGGTGTTCCAATCCCCTCCATATCATGTGATTCGGGTGTTCCAATCCCCTCCATATCATGCGATTCGGGTGTTCCAATCCCCTCCCAATCATGCGACTCGGGTGCTCCAATCCCCTCCCAATCATGCGATTCAGGTGTTCCAATCCCCTCCATATCATGCGATTCAGGTGTTCCAATCCCCTCCATATCATGTGATTCAGCTGTTCCAATCCCCTCCATATCATGTGATTCAGGTGTTCCAATCCCCTCCATATCATGTGATTCAGGTGTTCCAAACCCCTCCATATCATGTGATTCAGGTGTTCCCAATCCCCTCCATATCATGTGATTCAGGTGTTCCAATCCCCTCCATATCATGTGATTCAGGTGTCCCAATCCCCTCCATGGACACAGGTGTATACAATCAAGCCCCTAGGCATGCAGACGGCTTCTACAAACATTGGTGAAAGAATGGGTCGCTCTCACAGGAGCTCAGTGACTCAACGTGGTCCCGTGATAGGTGGCCCCCTGTGCAATAAGTCCATCCGTGACATTTCCTGGCTACTAAATATTCCACCACTGTTAGTGGGATTATAACAAAGTGGAAGCCACTGGAACAACAGCCCACTCAGCCACCAAGTGGGAGGCCACGTCACATGACAGGGCGGGGTCAGCGCATGCTGAAGCGCACAGTGCGCAGAAGTCGCCAACTGTCTGCAGAGTCAATAGCTAAAGACCTCCAAACTTGGTGTGGCCTTCAGATGAGCCCAACAACAGTGCGTAGAGAGCTTCATGGAATGGGTTTCCATGGCCGAGCAGCTGCATCCAAGCCTTTCCATCACCAAGTGCAATGCAAAGTGTCGGATGCCGTGGTGTAAAGCACGCCGCCACTGGACCTCTAGAGCAGCTGCATCCAAGCCTTCCATCACCAAGTGCAATGCAAAGCGTCGGATGCTGTGGTGTAAAGCACTCCGCCACTGGACTCTAGAGCAGCTGCATCCAAGCCTTCCATCACCAAGTGCAATGCAAAGTGTCGGATGCTGTGGTGTAAAGCACGCCGCCACTGGACTCTAGAGCAGCTGCATCCAGCCTTCCATCACCAAGTGCAATGCAAAGCGTCAGATGCCGTGGTGTAAAGCACGCCGCCACTGGACTCTAGAGCAGAGGAGACGTGTTTCTCTCTGGAGTGACCAATCACGCTTCTTTGTCTGGCAATCTGATGGACATGTCTGGGTATGGCGGTGCCCAGGAGAACGGTACTTGCCTGACTGCATTGTGCCAAGTGTAAAGATTGTTGGGGGGATTATGGGTGTGGGGGTTCCTCAGGGGTTGGACTTGGCCCCCTAGTTCTAGTGAAAGGGAACTCTTAAGGTGACATTTTGGACAATTTCATGCTCCCAACTTTGTGGGAGGAGTTTGGGGATGGCCCCTTCCTGTTCCAACATGACTGCCCACCAGCGCACAAAGCAAGGTCCATAAAGACATGGAGGAGCCATTTGGGGTGGAGGAACTTGACTGTCCTGCACAGAGTCCTGACCTCAACCCCAAAGAACACCTTTAAAGGTCATGGGATGAAGGCCCCCCTCAGAGCGGAGACCTGCGAGCCAGGCCTCCTCCCCCGACATCAGTGGCCTCCTGGCCCCCCCCCCGACATCAGTGCCTCCTCCCCCCGACATCAGTGCCCCTCCCCCGACATCAGTGCCCCTGACCTGACAAATGTTGCTTCTGGAAGAATGGTCCAAACCTTCCCATAGACACCCTCCTAAACCTTGTGGGGGGGGGCCTTCCCAGAAGGCTGCAAAGGGCGGGGCCAACACAATATTGAACCCTACGGACTAAGACTGGGGGGGGGCCATTAAAGGTCATGTGTGTGAGTGGGAAGGGCGGCAAGACAATACATGGGTAATATGGTGTGTCAGACATCGGGATAAAAATCTAATATCACTTCTCTCTCCCTCCCCCCCCCTCCTCTCCAATATTGAACTCCTGTCTCCCCCCTGGGGGCTCTCTCTCCTTCCCTCTCTCCCCCCCCTCTCCCCCCTTCATCCTCTCTCTCCCCCCCCCATTCTCCTATCTCCCCCCCTACTCGCCCCCGATCTCACTCTCCCCCCCTTTCTCTTCCCCCCCCCACTCTCCCCCCTACTCCTCTCTCTCCCCCCCCCTTCTCCCTCCCCCCTTCTCCTCTCTCCCTCCCTAACCCCCTTCCCCCCTATCTCCTCTCACCCCCCCTTCTCTCCCCCCCCACTCTCCCCCCTTAACCTTCCTCTCTCTCCTTCCCCTCTCACCCCTCCTCTCCCCCCTTCTCCCTCTCTCATCCCCCCCATTCTCCTTTCTCCCCCCCATCCCCCCGTTCTCTCCCCCCCCTTCTCTCCCCCCCCACTCTCCCCCCCTACTCCTCTCTCTCCCCCCCTTCTCCTCCCTCCCCCCTTCTCCTCTCTCCCTCCCTCCCCCCTTCTCCTCTCTCCCCCCCTTCTCTCCCCCCCCCACTCTCTCCCCCTCCCCTCTCTCTCCCCCCCTTCTCCCCTCTCCCCCCTTCTCCTCTCTCCCCCCCCCCCCTTCTCCTCTCTCCCCCCCTTCTCTTCTCCCCCCCCCCTATCCCCCCTTCTCCTCTCCTCTCCCCTTCTCCTCTCTCTCCCCCCCTTCTCCCCCCCCCTCTCTCCTCCCCCCCTTCTCCTCTCTCCCCCTCTCTCCCCCCCTTCCTCTCCCCCCCCCTTCTAAAAAAAAAAAAAAAAAAAAAAAAAAAAAACACCCAAAAAAGGGAAAAAAAAAAAAAAAAAAAAAAAAAAAAAAAAAAAAAATTGGGGGGGGGGGGGGGGGGGGGGGGGGAAAAAAATAAAAAAAAAAAAAAAAAAAAAAAAAAAAAATGAAATTTTGGGTTTTCTCCCCCCTTCTCTCCCCCCCCCTTCTCTCCCCCCCACTCTCCCCCCCTTCTCCTCCCCCCCTTCTCCCCTTTTCTCCTCTCGCCCCCTTCTCCTCCTCTCCCCCCCCCCTTCTCTCTCTCCCCCCTTCCACTCTCCCCCCTTCTCCTCTCTCCCCCCCCCCGTTCTCCTCTCTCTCCCAAAATTAGACCCTCCCGTAAGAGATCTCCTCTCTCTCCCCTCCTCTTTAGCACCGGGTGCACACCATCCTGAAGGCGGACATGGTGATAGTCATGAAGCGCGGCGCCATCATGGAGTATGACAAGCCGGAGGCGCTCCTGGAGCGGGAGGACAGCATGTTCGCCTCCTATGTCCAGGCGGATAAATAGGGGGGGGGGGGTCTGGTTGTCTATGTGTACATAGCGTGTAAATACGCCGATTATCGATTCTTTCATAATAAAGATTTTCTGCTGATTTTTCATGAACACGCCGCAGGCGGTCTCCGCGTCTTTCTCACAATCCATATATCAGGGGGGGGGGGGGGGGGGGTATAGGAATCTGAGAGGAATGTATAGAAGGATATCAAAATCTGGGGCCCCTGCTGCTCTCTGACCCCCTAGAATTATCTCAGCGGGGCCCCAACCTCAGGCGGAGAGCATTGTGGGTAAAGAATGTTTATCCAATGTATATGAAGCCGGGGCACAGCGGGGGTGGGGGTTGGTCAGAACAATTTCCTCATTGTTGGGTGTGACGGGGAGGGGGGGGGGGTACATTCTCGGCACAGCGGGGGACGGGGGGCTCCGGATATTAATATCGGTCAGGTGACGGTGGAGCTCCTCATAAATGCTGAGACATGAAATCTGAAAGAAGAGAAATATACAGAAACCGTCCTCAGCAATTCCCCCCCCCCCCCCCCGCCCCACACACCCCCACCCCCGCCGGAGACCCTCCGCCATACAGACCATTGCACAATCAGATTGTACCGTCCTGCAGATTCTCGTACATAGGATCAATCACCCCCCATACATCCTCCATCCATCGGTGAGATGAGCCCATACACTGATCTGTGACTCAGGGGTCTCTGGTCCTAGCCATGCCGGGCCCTATGGGGGACCTCCGGGGCCCCTCCACCTTCCTTTTCTCAATGCTCATCTAAGCAGCTGCAGGACCCATCGGGGGGGGAGGGGGGATCCACCCATACATGAATCTGTCAGTCGGTGGGCACCGGATCTCACAAACGGAAAAATAAATCCGACAAAACTGAGGTGTGAATGAGCCTTAGAGGGGCTCTCCACCCAACACCGAGATTTCAGTTTAGGGTGGATGGTGGATATCCCAGCAGATTCCAGTCTCTCCCGGCTCCACACACCACCAATGACCGTATTGTATGGATTCCGCCTCCAGAGCCTGGAGAATGCAGCAGGAGAAGTAAGAGACTTGGAATACTGAGGGAGTGATTTCTATGGGGACAGATGGTGGGACATCCGCTGCATTCTCTGCAGGAGGAGAACAATCAATATTGTCAGAGGAGAAACGGCACCAATAATACACAACGGGAGAGTCACCAAACCATAGAGTACCGGAGTTCCCCCATAACTGCCACATCCAACCAGGGCAGACTCCGCCTCCAATGTACGCCACAAAGGATCAATGACCTTACCTATCCTCTATGGTATCAATCACCCCTATACCAGGGGCGGACTGACCATTTGGAAACCAGGGCACTGCCCGAGGGCCCGGGGTCAGTAGGGGGCCCCATGAGATGCCCCTGGTACCTTTTTTTATAGGCTTTTTTAAATTTGGGCAAGGACACAGGGCCCCATGATCCCCTATTGCCCGGGGGCCCCATGAGTTTGTCAGTCCGCCCCTGCCCTATACATCGTCCATAGGATCAATCACCCCCTCTATACATCCATCCACAGGATCAATCACCCCCTATACATCGTACAGAGGATCAATCACCCCTATACATCCTCTATAGGATCAATCACCACCTATACATCGTACAGAGGATCAATCACCCCCTATACATCGTATACAGAGGATCAATCACCCCCTATACATCGACATAGGATCAATCACCCCCTATACATCGTCCACTAGGATCAATCACCCCCTATACATCGTACATAGGATCAATCACCCCCCTATACATCGTCCACAGGATCAATCACCCCCATACATCATCCACAGGATCAATCACCCCTATACATCGTCCACAGGATCAATCACCCCCTATACATCGTACAGAGGATCAATCACCCCTATACATCGTCCACAGGATCAATCACCCCCTATACATCGTCCACAGGATCAATCACCCCCTATACATCATCCACAGGATCAATCACCCCTATACATCGTCCACAGGATCAATCACCCCCTATACATCGTACAAGGATCAATCACCCCTATACATCGTACACAGGATCAATCACCACCTATACATCGTCTATAGCATGAACACCCCCCCCCCCATATACATCCTCTATAACACGGATCCCCATACATTGCACAGCCCCCTACCCAGGATCAATATCCCTATAACACGGATCCTCCATAGGATCACAGCCCCCCCCCCCATATATATCCTCTATAACATGGATCCTCCATACATTGCACAGCCCATACCTCCCCCCCCATCATATCACTCTATAACACGGATCCTCCAGAGGATCAATCACAGCCCCCCCCATACATCTCTATAACATCAATCACCCCCTCCAACATTGTACAGACCCCCCCCCCCCACCCCATAGTCCTCTATAACACAGGATCTTCCATACATTGCACAGCCCCCCCCCCCCCCATATATCCTCTATAACATGGATCCTCCATACATGGAACAACCCCCCCTTAGAGTAGGATCATATATCCTCTATAACATGGATCACCCTCCATACATTGCACAGACCCCAATCCCCCCCATACATCCTCTATAATCGATCTTCCATAAATTAGCACAGCACCCCCATAGGATCCCCCCCCCCATATAATCGTCTATAATCACGGATCCTCCATACATTGCACAGAGGATCCCCCCCCCCCTATACATCTATAACACGGATCAATCCATACATTGCACAGCCCCCCCCATATACCCCGTACATATATCCTCTATAAACAGGATCCTCCATACATTGCACAGAAGGCCCACCCCCCAATCACCCCCATATATACTCGATAACAGAGGATCTTCCATACAATTGCAGACATCCCCCCCCCCCATAAATATCCTCTGTTATAACAGATTGGATCCACCATACATTGCACAGACCAGTGACCCCCCCCCCCCCCCCATATATCCCCTATAACACGGATCCTCCAACATTGCACAGACCCCACCCCCCCCCCATATATCCTCTATAAGGACGGATCACCTCCATACATGCACAGGATCAATCCCCCCCCTATACATCGTCTATAACACGGATCCTCCATACATTGCACATCACCCCCCCCCCCATATATCCTCTATAACACGGATCCTCCATACATTGCACATCACCCCCCCCCCCCCCATATATCCTCTATAACACGGATCCTCCCATACATCGTTGCACAGACCCCCCCCCCCCCCCCCCTCGGTGAAATGGTATGATTGCGGTGTCTATGGCGCACTGATTGAACATGACGGAACGCAGCCGCGGACGGCGTCCATCGGGAGTGATGAGCGTCTTCCAGCTGATGGGATGGCGGACAGTCTCTAATGTTGTAGAGATGAAAGATTTACTAGCCAATGAAAAGCGACCTGAGCTCAGCACATCGACTTCCCCTGCTGGTCCTGAAGGAACCCCCTCCATTGTATGGAGAATTCGTCCTATACATCAGGTGACTCCCCTGTGATCAATAATAATGATCGGTTCCGCTGTCCGACTCTCATGATTACCTATTGATTCACCCTCTGATATTCACAGACAGTGATCACCCGACCAATCACTGGGCCCCTGAGGAGTAGTGGGTCGCAGAGCTGACACTCCATACAGGACTAAAATATACTGGGGAGGATATCGGGAGGATCTTGGGGAACAATGGGGATCTGCAGAAACTTCCAGCATAATAGGAGTGTGCAGACCCGCCGGTTCTGGGGTTATCACACCATACAGACATTAGGATCTCCGGGGGGGGGGGGGGGTTATATGAGCTCAGAGCCCCCGCTGGATGGAGATCAAATAAAATGATAGAATCTCGGGGGATGGAGGCCAAACTCTCCTGTGAGATCCACCGATGTCTGGGCTGAGTCTCCTCATCACCACCTGTCAGGAGGATAAAACCGGAGGCATTGGTTTGGGTTGGGGTTGGGTTAGGATTAGGGACTGTTGGGTTGGGGTTGGGTTAGGATTAGGACTGTGGGTTACATTGGGGGTTGGGTTAGATTAGACTGTAGGGTCGGGGTTGGGGTTAGGATTAGGACTGTAGAGGGTCGGGGTTGGGTTAGGATTAGGACTGTGGGTTGGGGTTGGGGTAGGATTAGGGGGGATGTAGGGTGGGGTTGGGTTAGGATTAGGACTGTAGGGTCGGGGTTGGGTTAGGATTAGGACTGTAGGGTCGGGGTTGGGTTAGGATTAGGACTGTTAGGGTTGGGGTTGGGTTAGGATTAGGGATGTAGGGTCAGGTTTTGGGTTAGGATTAGGACTGTTGGGTTGGGGTTGGGTTAGGATTAGGGATGTGGGGTTGGGTTAGGATTAGGACTGTTGGGTTGGGGTTGGTTAGGATTAGGACTGTTGGGTCGGGGTTGGGTTAGGATTAGGACTGTACGGTTGGGGTTGGGTTAGGATTAGGACTGTTGGGTTGGGGTTGGGTTAGGATTAGGGATGAAGGGTTGGGGTTGGGTTTGGATTAGGACTGTTGGGTTGGGGTTGGGTTGGGATTAGGACTGTTGGGTTGGGGTTGGGTTAGGATTAGGACTGTTGGGTTGGGGTTGGGTTAGGATTAGGGATGTAGGGTTGGGGTTGGGTTAGGATTAGGACTGTTGGGTTGGGGTTGGGTTAGGATTAGGACTGTTGGGTCTGGGGGTTGGGTTAGGATTAGGACTGTTGGTGGGGTTGGGTTATAGGATTAGGGATGTAGGGTCGGGGTTGGTTAGGATTGACTGCAGGGTTGGGTGGGTTAGGATTAGGACTGTTGAGTTGGGGTTGGGTTAGGATTAGGACTGTTGGGTTGGGTTAGGGTTATTAGGACTGTTGGGTTGGGGTTGGGGTTAGGACTGTTGGGTTGGGGTTGGGTTTAGGATTAGGAACTGTTGGGTTGGGGTTGGGTTAGGATTAGGACTGTAGGGTCGGGGTTGGGTTAGGATTAGGATGTTGTGGGTTGGGGTTGGGTTAGGATTAGGACTGTAGGGTCGGGTTGGGTTTAGGATTAGGGATGTAGGGTGGGTTGGGTTAGGATT